TATATAACTCGAATCAAATTAAATTGAAAGATTTTATAAAATAAATTTGACTCGACTCGACTCGAAAAAAATGAGTCAAATAGAGTTGGTCTTTAAACTCGACTCGACTCGACTCATTCAGAACTCTAAATAGTTATATCTTTCAAATTATATGTCTTAAAAATAAGCTAGAATTATATTATAGTATCAGTTAAATTTAATTGTAGATTTGCTATATCACCTATTATAATATTTTTTTGCAAATAAAAAGCAAAATAAACACTATTAATATATACTGTACATAACTTTTTAATAATAAAAAGAAATATAAAGTTAGACTAACCAATACCTTATAAATAAATAATAAAATGTTACAGAAAGAGATTAGTATAATTAATTACCTAAAAATCTAATAACTATAGAAGGTCATTAATAAGAAGATATCTATTTAACAATCAAATGGTTATAGAATCCAATTAACATAATTTATACTAGAAAGCATTTATAAGGTCATATATATTAATAAAATTAAGTTATTTAAATTACATGATAAATAAGAAATATATGTGAGAAAAATAAAAAAAAACTATTTTAAAAGTAAAAAAAATAATAGTGTAAACAAAAAGACATAAAAAACTACATAATTAGAATATATAATTAGTTAATTTAGTTATAGTTAAGTTATTATAAGACCAACTAACCTAAATTATTTAGTTGTAGTTAGATTATTTAGATAAATTAAGATATTTAGTTACAACTAGATTATTTAATTATAGCTAAGTTATTTAATTATAATTAGGTTATTATATGATTAAATAACCTTATTTAGTTTTCTTTATGAATTTAACATATTTTTCATACTGAACTTAGTAGGCAATATCAAGAATAATCAATTGAAATATTAAAATTAAGAATTTTAAACATTAAATAATAGTTTAATTGTAAAATGTAAATAATTTGAAATTATAACTTTTATAAACATGCTATATTAGACCTGATGTTTCACCAAAAACAATGTCGCTGAAGATCGTGTAACTTTTCATGAAAACATTACACAAATCAGGATCTTTTAATTTTTTTTCTTTTTTTTTCTTTTTTACAATACAAGTAGATTGATTATGATAGAAATTTTTGAACTAGTAGCATTATTTATTTATTTTTTAAAAAAAAGTATCAAAAAAAATTCGGATTTTCAAAATTATATCACGTGAGGAGTGACCTCGAATCAGGGTTGATATTGCACCGAGATCTAAAAAAATTTCATGAAAAAGGTTTCTTGAATAATGGAAGAAGAAATTAACGAAAAGTATGAAAAGTCATTTGTTACAGTTGAAGCCACTTCAATAACTGAGCAAAAACCTCAAATAATAGAAACTTATCAACAAGAACAACAAGAAGAAATTCATAATGTACAAGAATGGCATGAACTTTTTTCTGAATTTTTTACAAAGGTATATTTTCATTCGTTCTCATTATTATGATAATCGATTTATAGTAATAAAATTTTATTCTTACCTAATTTATAGATTGGAATGGTTGAAACCAATAAAGCATTACTTATGGAAATAGTTGTCTTATCGGCGAACCATGAAAAACAAATTCCAAAACATATTAATTGGTTATTGAAAGAATTAACAGTGAATTGTCTTTGATCTCATTTATTGATCTATTATTTTTTTTATATTATTGTTTGAATGTGTTCAAATTACAAAGATTTTTAACAATTGTATCTTTCCAAAAGACACTGAAAACGAGATTTGATGTTCAGTCTTCTAAGAGAAAAATGGAACAGGAAAATGGTTTGTCATATGGAAAATTCTTTTTGATTTATTAATAATTATACGAGAATAATTCATATTTCGGGTTTGATCTATTTAGGTGAAGATAACCCGTCAAAAAAAGTTCAAATGTTAATGAGTTCTCAAGAAGTTCAAATTAGAACAACAAATTCCGAGGTAGATGTAATAATACAAATCTGAAATTATAATTAAATATAAATATGTATATTTTTTTGATTTCTAATATGAATGTATGGTGTTACAATTACAGCTCGAGCAACGAATTGATAATTTTATTCAATTAAAAAAGTCCGAAATTAATGATAGTAATCGGGCCGAGTTTTTGAAAAAATCGAATAACCCTTTAGATCCAAATGGTAACAGCCCTACCTTTTATTCGAATTAACATAGTTTCATTCATAAGGCGAGTTATTTATAAAAAATATTGATCAAAAATTCAGATAAACAATCATGTGCTCGATCGGACGCTGCCGAAATCAATCGAAATATTCAAATGAAACTTGATGTAGTGAACAATGAAGATGGTCCCTTAGCTCGCTCGACATTTAATTCAGTCAATCATAATCGAAGCGATCCTGATAAAAAATCGTTAGCTGAATTACCTAGAGGTGTTGAGGATAGATTACAAAATATCGAAAAACATTTAAATATAGAAATAGGTGATCATTTATTATATATTCTTTCATTTTGTATAAGTTGATTCAAATTATGATTCTCATTTCATTTCGTTTAATGATCAGTTACACCAATTCCTCTCAGTGTTTATGAACGATTAAAAATATTAGAGAACAAAATAATGCAACTTGAGCGAGATTACCCTCCTTGGTCAGCTATACATTTCAATCAACCTAACCGCCAGGTAAGAATCGCTTGGAAATGAAAATAAATTTTATCGATAAATCTTATTCAAACCGTGACCCATGAGTTTTGGCATAATTGTTAATTCACTAGTTTCCACCTCCACCTCCTGTGACAACTGTGAGACGTAACAGTAATAACGAGATTATCACAAGTGTTGCGCTGACGCCCGGAAATAATACTCCTGTCTCAACCGTCACGCCTACATTTTCAGCCGCGCCAACAATATCGGCCAGTCTGTCGGTTGATGCGAAACGAAATCCGTCCGGATTCACACCAACGAACCTTTTTAGTTCCAAGGGTTCACGTACACCACGTCCAATTAAACCAAAGGGAAGAGGCCGTGGACAATCTTCACTGACGCGATCAGTTATGGAACAATTAAAATTGATTCGTCGTACTGATAATGAAAAACAAAAATGATAATAATGGAACATTTACTCATGTATCAACGAAACCTTTAATTGAAACGCAAAAATCACAGATACAAATGTTAACTTCACAGCTGCCAAAAGTGCAGATACAACCTCAAAGAATCTCTCAAGTACAAGTTCAATCCCCGTCACGTCCTTCATTACAACCTCATGTGCGGCAATTTCAATCAAATTCTCCAAAATTACCACAACCATTATCAACTAACAAATCAAGTATTACACCGATTCCTATAGCGCCCAAACCTCCCACATTTCAGCTATATCAACAACAACAACAATTACAAAAGATAATAGCAGAAGAAATGCAGGCATCAGAAATATTAATTGTTCGAGAAGATCGTAGTGTGTCTCCAATAATAGATCCAGGGAGTAATAATGAAACGATCCCTAATAAGGATAGTACAATGGAAATTGATGCAGCAGTTGAAAAAATTGAGTCAAATGGATCAAAAAACTCACATGATACATCAGGTGAAGAAATTTCTGTCGTCAATGAAAGTGATAATCACAGCATGAATAGTACTGGTACAACGGTTCTTTCGAACAATTTCAATACTACTACCGATTTGGTATCGAATATTGATGAAAGCAAAGGACTTGAACAAATTCAAAATTAAAACAATTTGCATTTAAATCATCGGCAATTTAGATTTCCAAAATTCACGAATTTGATTTTGTTGTTATATATTATATTTAATATTCTAGAAAACAATATTTAATTTGATGAGCGTTGATAGTCGTCCAAAATTGGATGATTAAATCAACTGTCTGAATTTCTAAACGTTTCTATTTTTCTATTTGAAAAAAAGGGGGGGAATAGATGGGAAAAATTACAAATGAAATTATTAGAATGAAATAAATAATTAAGAGGAAATATATATATAAAGACTAATTCTAATAAACTTAAATCACAAAGAAATTTACAAAAAGTGATTTAAAACCACATTTCATTGAAAATTATTATTATTATTATTATTATTATTTTTTTTTGTCTAAGTGATCATCATATTAAAGGTTAAGTTGAAAATTTGTTTAAAGACGAATAATATCTACAATTAAAATAAAGATTATGATAAGAAAAAGTAATGAGTCTAATATTAATTCTAAATTTATTTTTTGAGTTTTTTTTTTTTTTTTTTTTTATGATGGTTGATATCATGCTCAGAGTATTAAGTGAATATGAAGAGAAGGAAAAAAAAAAAAGATTAGTAAAATTAAGAGAAAATTCATTATTATCTATCAATATTCTGTCATACATGATTCCATTTTCATTGAGTTATTATTAAGATCACCATCGTTTACGCTAGAAATCAAAGAAGTTTCCCCGACATGAGCTTCCAGAAAATATTTAAAATCTTTCTCTGGTTCATTTTTAAAATTTAGCCAAAACGAATGTGCAGAAAGACAAGAAAGTAAATATGCAGCCCTAGAGTTATGATAGATTTAAAGATTAGTTTTAAAGTTAAATGATGAAGTTAAAATCACAATTGATTTGATCTATTCATAAAGTACTTTAGATCATCCATTTGGCGTCGTTTTTTCTGATCAGTCACGCGCTCCTTTTGATCCTGCTTGTCTGAAGAGATTATGGTAGTTTGCGAATGATGATTATTACGAGTAGTGCGAGATGAATGTCTTTTTTGAATTTTACCATGTGAAACATGTTTTCTGTATTAATTAAGATAAAATCGTGAAATCAGATCAATTAAGTTCCCAAAAATTTTAAAGTACATTAAATATAAAAAGATAAGGAAAAAAAAAAAAAGAAAAAGAAAACTTACAACGTATCCTGTTGGTGACGCGGTCGCAAAAAGAACTTGGTAAGTTTTCCTTGGTTAACTTTTAGGATGGGAGCATTGTTAGGACCTACTGCATTGAGAAGTTTACTAATTTCACCACTGACAGTATTACGCGGAGTGGCACCACTAAATTGTAATAAAGAATAATATCTTTAATACAGTTTTAGGAAAAACTTTTTGGAAACGTACGAGATGATGGCATTACTAATTCTGAAATTCGGAAGGAATACTTACTGAAAAACTACTAATTGACGTCTTGTCATTTCATCAACCAACTCTTGTAAGGAAAGTGGTCGGTTAGTGGTTTCAAGAACTGCTATAACACCTGAGATTATCTTGCTGTGACCGTGATATACGTATTTTGAGGTTTTGGACGGCATGATGTGACAAGATGAGGAATGAAATTCTAAAATGCTAGTAATTTTAGAGTAAAAAGTGATAAAAGAGTAAAAGTAAAACACCTAAAAGACACAATAGGTTAGCGAAAAGAGTAATAGTAATGAAGCGGATCAAAAATTTGGAAGGAATGGAAATGGCAGGGGTGAGTTTTTTCTCGCCAGGTTTACTGGGATTCTACAGTGTCAAAAAGATGTAGTTGTTTACTACGTATTTATGTATGTCGGTCGCGTCAAGAATAATTTGTGCGATGAAGATTTTTTTTTGGTATTGATACGTGGTACTACGTCCAATCTTTTAATATCGCTTGTGCTCCCAATGTGTATGTGTAATCTCAAATCATACATCATGCGTTTTATTCAACAAAAAAGTCGTTTCAGCCAATCGAGAAACTCTCGACGATTATTTACGAAAACTTAACCGCAGGAGTGCGTTAATTTTCAACTTTAATATCCTAAAAGTAAAAAATGCTTCAATCTTTTAACTCTAAATAAAATTTTGTACAAGGTTATCAAGAAATTCAGGAGAATGACATGAAAATCAAAAAAAGTATTTTATAAAAAAATTTTTTTTTTTTTAAAAAAAAAAAAAAAAAAAAAAAGGAATCTTTTATTTATTTATTTAAATAAAACTTTACAATTTAAATTATATAATTTGCGATACTTACCAAATACCTATCATTAAATATATAAATATAATCAAATATCTCAATCATATACTTTAAATGCTATGGAAATATTCGCGTTTTTCGCGTATTTGATAATATTTTTTGTAAACGCGTTCGTAATTTTGATGATAAGAAATGATTTTATAAAAACGAGCAATTGAAAGAGAGTGTAAACGTGGCATTGGTGTTACATTCCAAGATCCTGGTTGAAAAACATCTAAGATTTCACAAATAAATTATTGGAACGCAAATGGCTGAGGTGTAAAGTTGAGGGATCGACCGGTAACATATACGCCGCGAAAATGCGCGTGTAAAGCGCAGCAACATCATTGTGGCGGCGTTTTTGTCCGCCAGATGATCATTTTCGACGATCCGGAATAAAGATAAAGGTTTACATTCACGATAGTTCCGTTCTTGATTCATATCATAAATCAACAAATCCCAGGCTATTTTTTCGCGTAATATTTACCTACTTATTAAAGTATCCCGTCTCGGCACCCTTTTTCATATATTGAATAAAATAATATCATTAAACTTTTGAGTTCTATTTTCTTTCCTGTGTTTACTATAAATTGATTTGCTTCCACTATCATTAAACCTTTCTGTATTTGTCTAAACACACGTAAAAAAAAAAAAAAAAAAAAATATGATATGGGTAACCGTAAAACGCGGCCTTAATAAATCATCAACTAAAAAATAATGAATGAATATCTAACTCTTATGAAGAATTTTGTAAACATGTCAATAACGTTACTTTGCATGGTTCACGTTCCTGCCTACGTCAGCTGATTATTGATATCACTTTTACTATTTTTATAATAATTTCTTTTAAAGCACACAAACACGACATCAAAAGACTCGTATCTTAGTCACCACCTGAACCGCGCAATTTTGTTCAAAAAAGATTTCTCTCTTTTATTTTCCACGTTATTAAATTTTTAATAGAAAAGATGTCTTCTGAATTGCAAAATCATATTGAAATTTCAGAACCTGACCTTTCCTCTCAAATTTATAAAGCAACTTATTCAGGGGTTCCAGTTTGGGAGTTTCGGTAAGTGTGAAATACTCATCAGTGTTCAGTTTATGCTGAGAACTTACCACCTCAAATATGTGACACTACACTTCTTTTCAACATTGTCGCTCGTTTCTAGTGTTCGAAATGTAGCCGTCATGCGACGTAAAACAGATTCTTGGCTCAACGCTACTCAAATTTTGAAAGTCGCAGAGTTCGATAAACCCCATCGAACTAGGATTTTGGAACGTGAAGTTCAGAAAGGGGAACACGAGAAAGTTCAGGGTGGATATGGAAAATATCAAGGTTAATACCTCTCTTACTATTAAGGTTTACTTCAAATGCTTATTATTTACGTAGGGTACCTACTAGGCTTAAATATTTATGATTTAATTACAATTTCAATTTCTTTATCGCGTATTACAATATAAAATGAACACTTTAATATTAATAATATATTTTTAATTTATATTATAGGTACCTGGGTTCCATACGAAACAGGTGTCGATTTAGCAGAACGGTATCATGTCAAAGAACTTTTACAACCAATTATTAATTTTCAACCGACTTCGCAAAGTCCTCCCCTTGCGCCCAAACACGTAACGGCCGCGTCTAACAAACCGCGCAAACCACGTGAACCAAAAGAGCCTAAACCCATTAAACCTAGGATTCCTAAGAAGTTAAAGAAAGCTGAACAAATAGAAGATGCTATGGAAATTGATTCTGATCATGAGACAAATGAAATAGTCAGTGTTGCTTCTACTACCAACGTGACCGTTTCTCCAATATCCTCTTTAACAACTACTCCTGCTCCAATCGATTCTTCAAATGATTTAACAGAGTCAGATGACACTATTCCTGTTCAGAAAACAAAGCGAAAGCGTAAACAGCCTGAACCTGCCACCGCGCCGGCTAGTACTATTACTTCCAGTCGTCCAACTAAAATTGCCAAGAATTCCGCGTCTGCACAATTCCAACAATATGGAATGCTTTTGTTGGCGTATTTTACATCGAATGGAACTTCGATTCCAGATTTTGTTATTAATCCACCTACAGATTTTGACCCAAACGTCGTAATCGATCAACAAGGGCATACTGCACTTCACTGGGCTGCTGCTATGGCAAACATTGAAATGACTTCTCTTTTAAGCAAAGCTGGTTCAGATCTCGATCGTGGTAACATTCACGGAGAAACTGCTCTGATGAGAAGCGTCATGTTCTCATACAACTATGATAACAGAAGTTTCAATGATATGGTACAAATCTTGCATACGACAATACCCAATTTAGACATAAGTGATCAGACTGTGTTGCATCACGTTGCAGTGTTTGCTTCTTCAAAAGGTTGCATCGGTCCTTCTAGATATTATATGGAGATTTTGCTTTCGAATTTAGCTCTACATCCTAATGAAGAATATCGTAAAGCCATCATTAACAAGCAAAATCATGAAGGCGATACCGCCCTCAATATTTCTGCAAGATATGCTAATAAGAAACTGGTTCGATTACTAATGGATGCTGGAGCGGATCCTCAAATTAGGAACGCGCTAGGAAAAAATGCCGAAGACTATATATTAGAGTTGGATCATGAAGCAAAAGTTCGAGCGGCTTCTGAACATCAAACTCATTTACAAAACGTCCAGACAATAAACAACCTCGAAAATCAAGAAATAACCGCTGTTGAAAGTTCATCGTCAATAGAAGTTTCGGGAACATCACCAACCGTTACATCATCAACAGGTGTTCAAGCTTCGCAAAACTTTCTGCCAAATATCACATCAATTTTGCAGGAATTTGAAAATTCATATCAGTCACAAATACAAGAGAAAGATCAAGAATTATCTACTTCTCGTACCCAGTTAGAAACGGTCATTAACGAGCTAAATACGACTAAATTTAATATTGACGCGTTGCGAGACAAGATTCGCGTACTCCCCGCACGAAAAGAACGAATCAATGAATTGGTTGGCTTGGTGAGGGATATAGTCGAAAAGCGAAGGCAATGTCGACTTGACGCTACCATCTCTCAAGAGATGAAGAATGTCGCACCGCTTCAAGGTGGCAATGCTGACAAGTATGATTTATCATTCTATTCATAATATTTTTATATTATTTGGTATTTCTAATACGTTCTGTAATTAGGTTGGCGGAGCTAAAGCAGCAATTAGAGGATCTTAAAGCTAGTAGACGGCAGCTGATGAAAGAGCTTATCAAGACCAAGACGACAGCGCCCGATCAGATTATGACTCCATACAAGCGAGTAATTGGCTTGTTTAGCGGGGAAGCTGGAACCACATCTGTTTCTCCTCAGATGGAAATGTCCATCTGAATTTTCTTTTCTTGATTTTTTTTAAAAAAAAAAAAATCAAAAAAGTTAAAAAATCAAAAAAAAAAAAAAAAAAAAAATACACATATCGACGTGCATATATGCAACCGATAATATTAATAAAAGGAGCGTTTTATACGCAAGTATCATTTGTTATGTAAATATAGTGAGATAATAATAATCGTATTTTTCTTCTCTATATGGAATTATAACGAAATAAAAAAATTTTTTCTTTGACTTATAACATCATATTGTAGAATATAATAACGTGTCGCATTTTTTGATTTATTACAAAAAAAAAAAAAAAAAAAAAACGCGTCTTTTTATTATATAAAGAAAATTTGAGAAAAAATTTCGACGCATATCAAACTGATTCGAATTTTCAAAAATGTTATTTTAATAATGTGAAATGAAAAATAAGAATAAAGTTAAACTAGAAGTATTTCAGACTTGGCATTCATCTTAAGCTGGAGCACCATAAGCTTCTGGTAATCTTTCTATAGTATATTTTCGTTTAGAAATATACATGATAGGAATACCAGGAATCTTCCGAATGCGACGTTTCAAATCTCGATCACAAGTTGCCACTATATAACATTTATGCTAAAAAAAAAAAAATGATAAAATTAACTTGTATTTAATTTGAAGAAACAAAGTAAATTAGAATCAACTATGACACTTGCCTGAGTTACTCGCTGCACAAGACAATCATCAGCATACGTTCCTTTGTGTGTACATGGTAATCTTTCAAATCTTGGATCACGAGCGACTCTGAATTGTAGTATCATGAAAATTTCTTTAGCTCTCAATTGCATGCCTTAATGTAAATAATGTAGATTTACGTAAATTCTTACCGCAGCGCGATCCTATATTTTGGACCTAATTTTTCCAATTCTGCCATTACACAATCAGTAATACATGGAATACCTATTTTTGACTAATACAAATAAGAAATATGCGATCAAATAAAAATAAATAGATAAATAAATAAAAATACATACATTTGGCGTATAAGCAATCCATCATGGCCTGCACAAGTTCCAATTTATTTTGAATTGAGAAATTAATAAAATTTGTATCCACCAATATTTGATAAGGTGGACCGAGGGCCGTGTTGTGTCTAAAGAAAAGTGATGAAGCTACTTGCGGACTATCTCACACAAAAAAAAAACAAAGAATATGAATAAGTATGTGATCTATTATTGATTAAAAATTAGGTTAAAATTAAAAAGAAAGCTTACACATTATGAATAGCTTCTTTAACTTTTTTCTCCTGTTGAGATTTTTGTTTCTCTTGTACAGATTTGCTAATTTAATTTTAATCAATTTATTATTAATAATTAATGAAAAATATAATAGAAGGTCATATCAAGTTGAATGAATTATTTCGTATGGTACATATTATGCAAATAATAAATAATGTCATACTCACAGTCTTGAATCCTTTGGATTTATCAATCGTTTTACTTCGGCGAATTTCCTCGTTTTCTTTGCTTTTCCCTATTTAAATCAGCATTAATTAAATCTTTCGAACGAAGATAGAGGAAGACGTAAATATCTTACCATTTTCTTCTAGTAAATCCAAAGTTTAATTAGATCTCGATAAATACATGATTTCACGTGAATGGCATTATGTCACCGATCCTTTCTCAAAACGGAAGCTTTTTTTGATAGTATCTTTACGTTTATACATTACGACTTAATTTAGTAACTAATAAATTAAATTTACTAATTTAGAAATCAAATCTAATCTAGATGTTTGTTAATTTCGCGTCCTTATCGCGCTTCTTTTTCTCCTTCCTGAAATTTTGAAAGTGAATCAAAAAGCACGATGGAACAAAATAACGATGCTAAGAATCAAAATAATTCTGAATACACAAAACTCCTTAATAGGATGTATTCTCAACAGCCTGCAGAGAATACGAACGCATATAGTTCACAATCACTAACAGGTAGTTTCTTAAATGCTTTAGAAAATTTTGATTAACTTTTATATTAATTGATTTATGAATTATAGTATCTGAGTCGAACATTCAGCCTGACAACAAAATTCTTCAACAGAGTAGTATTCTAACCACGCAAACTAGTTCATGTGTCATGGCTGGATCTCAAAGTCAACCTGCAAGTTCCAATACCTTAGTATTTAGTCAAGTATATCAAGAATATATTTCTGCTTCACAGATGCCTAATGGCATGCAAATACCATCACAGCAACAAAATGTTATGCAAACTGCGCAAAACTCTCCATATTTTAAGGCTAATCTACTTCATAATGACAATTCACAAAGGAACGTTAGTTGGGGTCACATTGAAAACAATCTACCAAAGTTAAGCAATATTCAATCAAGTGGGTCATTCTCGATTCCTTTCTAATCAGAAAATGGATCTTGATGTAATTCACTAAATCAAAACCAAATTTTGTTCACTAGGTATAACAAGTACACCAAAGAATTCTAACGCTTACACAAAAGCGGTCGAATTACCAGAAAGTCAGTCTAATCTTTAAATTACGCGCATATAGTGGCAGAATGACTATAATATTTGTGATTATTATATAGGGATGCCCGAGAAGACTCGTTTTCGTGTAGCAGAGTTTGTTACAGATCATCTTGGTATGATTTTTGTTTACATCGAACTTTCTAAGGTTTTTACTAATACGCTTGCTATTAAAAGATTCGGTTCCTGGCGAAGAAAGGTTTTATAATAATTTGTCGACAAAGTTACAGGAAAAGTTTTATGCACAAAAAATCAATCGTATGAGTTCGACCAATAACGTGTCCCGTGATAACATGTCGAAAGTTATGACACGTGAGATAATAGGAATAAATGAGAATGTTAATTGGATTGCAGAAAGGGATCACATTTTGAAAAAATATCCGCATAAATTGATGAGAAAGAAACCAAGATCCCAGGCGCCTCGCAAACACAGTACTGATGGTTATCTATCTTCAGATATCGAATATATCTAATATTTTTTTCCACGTATTTATGTGAAGATTTTAATCGTTGAATGTACAAATCATGTAACATGTGCATAACGGTAGAATAATTTATCTTATCAAGAGGGTTCACATTCTATTTTTCATGACATCATTATTTTGTTCGTCATTTTTCATTTTTAATTTATTAAAAATATGAGATTTTTTTTTAAAAAAAAAAGAGTTGTTCATTTCGAGATGGAAAATTAGAAATAAATAAATATATATATATCAAAACAAAAGTTGTTATTGATAAAGGAATGCAAGTTACACCTCGATAGATGGGAAAGTAAAAGAAAAAGGAGGACATCTTAATAGTTATATATACATAACTAGAAACCAAATAAGGTGCTCGGGTAACCCTAGGATCTTAACAAGTCGTTAAAATGGTAAAACTTGGAAAACTATATATCAAACATATAAAAATGGCGAAACTTTATCAAAATCTTAAAAAACCCAAGAAACTAACGTTTTGCTATATCTAAAATAGGTTTAGACAAGCAATCTTATAACCTAATGATGAATATGGATTTTAATAATCAATACTCGAGCAAAGCCCAAAAGAATACCCTTTGACTATTGACATTTCCATCTATTTTTATATATAAATCCTTGTATTTATATGTTTCTGATCTTTTATTTTTTTACACTAATTACATGTCTTTAAATATGTTATTTTGAATTATCACCATTTTCTTTCTCTTTTACTTATAAACAATTATTATTAAAACTTGTAATGAGATTAACAAAACAATTTCTAACTTTTTTTTTATTATCTTTTGTATTTTCTATTTATTATTCTTAAAATCTCAAAAAATAATAAATAATAAATATTTAAATTCATCAATTAAAAATTCAATTATCTTTAATTTATTTTATTATATAATTATTCATTTTTATTATATATAAAAGATAATTTTATTAATTAATGTATTGCTTTTATTTTATTTTCTTTTATTTTAAATTAACAGTAAAATACATTTGATATCAATATTTTCTATCTTACCTATATCTTTTATAAATTAATTTCATAAAAATAAATATAAACTTTTGAATTAATAAAATTACATAATTTCTGTTTATATTTATAAATATATTTTTTGTATTTTTATAAAATTTGTTTATTTATTTTATATAATTATAAATTTATAATTACAGTTCTCGAAAAAAGTAATCAGAATTACAAAAAATGTAATAAATAAAAAACTAGTGATTAAAATTACTTTAAATTTTGCAGATTTGTTGTCAAATATGTAAATATTGTGCATACATAATTTCAGCTATTTATCCTATCTCTATGTCTCACAATCATCCTTTAAGTTAAAAAAAATATCATTAAAAATTTAAGCAGTAAAAACCTGAAAACTTTAATATAGTATTTAAATAGCTATAAAATCAAATTCAGATTAGGATGATTTATTGAAAAAAAAAATTTGGTACTTTATGATTCATTAATTGCTAATAAAATTAAAATTAAAATTTATTTACTAAAATGATTTTAACCCTTAAAAATAGCTAAAAGAACAAAAATTTAGGATTTTAATTCAAATTACAATAGTTATAAAAAATTATTATATAAATTATTTAATGTAAATTAATAGTATTTGAATATATAAAAAAATTTATATGTTTAATATTAAATAAGTATAATTATGATTTGCATTCTGCATGATATTTTATAGTCAACTTTAATTTCAATTTACCAAAAACCAACTGATAAATTGTATCAAATTTTTTTTCATAAATCTACTAAAAAATATATTTTTTATATTAGTAATTTTTTTTATATGAATATAAAAAGCTGTTCATTAATATTTGAGATATTATATAAAAACTTAACAAATTTTTCATTCTTTAAATTTTTAATGATTTTTTTTAATTAAAAATATGATTGTAAGACAAGAAGATAAAGTAAATAGCAAAAATTTTATATACATAATATTTATATATTTATCAACAAATCTTTAAAATTTAAAGTAATTTCAATCATTAGTTTTTTATTTATTATATTTTTTGTAATTCTGATTACTTTTTTGAGAACTATAAATCTTCTGTATTTTTAGAATTTTCAGAATTCTCAGTATTTTCAGAATTTTAAATTAAAAGATCATTATACTACGTCATTTATATAACTTCATTATTATTAATTAATTATTCTGCTGATAATATATGGGATCTTTGCAATAGAAAGAGAGGAAACTCAAAAAAAAATAAAAAATGAGTTAATAATAAATCTAAACAAATTATAGTATTTGAAACATTTTTGGCTTATAAACTAAAATTTTAATTTTTTTGGAGTTTCCTCCCTTTCTATTGCAAAGGCCCCATATAATAAAATTATCTATCAATATTATAATTTAATTCTTTAAAATAATCTTTTCTTCTTAATTATCCAAATAATCATATTATTTGTAAGATTAATAATTTCAGTATTATTATTATTACAGTAATAGCATAAAAATTTAACTATTTAAGATCACTCAAATTATTATATACATAGTGAAATTTGATAAATCAGATCTTTAATAAACTAGATTTGGATTTAAACTGATCTTTTTTGCTAGAACTAAAACATATATATTAAAATAGTTTCGATATACTAGAATTTATTAGTAAAAGCTCAATATTTGCTATAATGGATCAATTTTCCAATCAGTTATAGTAAAAAATGATTTAATAAACTAGAGCACATAATTAAGAATTAATAAAATTAAAGTAACGTGATTCAGTAAATCTTAACTTTTCTCAAAACTATAAAAATCTTAATTCTGGCTAAAGTTATTAACATAATTATATTTAATTAAAAATATTTTATATTTATTTTCATGATCTTTATCATATAATAATTAAGATAAAAAGTTAAAATATAGTATACTTTGTCATCTTTAATGTGAAATATTTTAAAAATTCAATATAATGGATTTTTAGTATATCAAAATTTTTTCTCTATACTGAATATTCTGATAAATCAGATATTTTTAGTAGAACTGATAGATCTGATTTATAAAATTTCACTATATAATTATTCCTTAAATTTTTATGAATTTAATATAATATGATACCTGATTATTAATAAATTTATAGATATCAATATCTTATTTTAAAGAATTTAAATGATCATCAAACTTTTATTTGAAAAATGAAATTTTCTTAAAAATAATATAAATTGTCTTTTTTATGAGCATCCAGCTAAATTTAACAATCACTGGTCATGTCACAGATTGGCATATTGAGCTAATTTTAATTAAGGGATTGACATTCATGTAAATCACTTTTTATAAAACTGTTTTTAATTCAATAAAAAATATTTTACATAATAATGTATGCTGAAATTTTATATATAATTTCGCTTCATGTCAGAGATACTGTATATTAATTTTTATCACGATCAGATAAATATCAAGCTACTTTTACTAGAACAAATAGTTTTATGAACGAAAAATTGCTAAATTTGACTAATAGACAAACATGTGAAAATGTTGTATTACCATAGTTTGGAATACTAAGATAATCGAAGTATAAGAGATCATAAAAAAATTTTTTTGTCTTCATATAGGCAGGAAAAGTCGTCAAAAACTTGCATTTCAGGTTTGACTTTACCATATTTTTGCGATTTTTCAAAAAATCAATTAAATACGAATGTCAGAACATGAAGGCAATGTTTCTTTGTGCTCTCTTTTTAAAACTTTTACGGAAGAGTTAGAAGAATTAGAAGACAATGAATACAGTGATAATATTAATAAAAACAATGTAGATAGTGATAATGTAGATGGCGAAAATAAGTTTCTTAACCCTTGTACTGATTTAAATGAACGCAATCTTAGTTTTTTACATAAAATACTTGAAGGTAATGATGAAATTAGTAGTTCTAATTCAGATAGTTATAAAAATGAAACAGAATTAGACTTTGAAAGTGCAGATAATAGTGGGGATGAAAGTGAGGAAATACAATTTTCTTATAATAATGAATTTGACAAAATTATACCAATTTTAGAACAAAAAGAATTGATTGCATGTGTAGTAATTAATTTGATTAATGGTGGGTTTTAGCGGTGTGGACAAAAAGAAGGAACCATAAGGCTATTGTATAACCTTTTTGGTACATAAGAAGTAGATCAAGATGCCATTAAAGAAGTAAATGAAAATTTATCGAAATTGGAAGTTTGTGACTTGTATTTTCAATTTAACAATAAATACCTGTATAATTTAAAGGAAAAAAATTAAAGGGTTTTGAAACAGCAATAATTCAATGGCGTAGATGTATTTCTTGCAATAAATATATAAATTTTCTTTCACAAGAAGCAGGATGTGTTAAACATTCTTGACGTTTAAATGGACATAATATTCAAATATCATGTATTAGACAACATGGCTATGATGCATTAAGAGTATACCGCCCTTTATATATTAAAGCATTTGATGATATTAAAAATCCTAAATCAGTTTGTTGTTTATGTTATGAAAAACTTGGGGGTCATATTTATCAACGTCTAGGAAGGGAAAAAAGGGAACTACTTGTATTACTAAACAATTACACTTAAGCAATACTAGTAAAGGTCTTGAATTTTTGGGTAATTGGTTGATTGATTTTTCACAAACTGAAAATGAAGAAATTAAAGAAAAAATTCTAATAGCATTAGTTGATATACTTATTCCTTTTGCATCTTTTCCGTATTTTAATAAAAAACTTTTACAAAATCAACTTATACAAATACAAATATTAATTCTACTTCTACAAATAAACTCGCTAAAATTAATCTTACTTAGCTACCTAGTTTATTTATAATTAAAATACTTTTCATTGAGTCAACTAAAAAAATAAGTGACAAACAGGATTTAAAAATTAATAATTTTGAAGAACTTGGATGTACAATTGGAAACAAATTATGGAATTCAAGATCAGAAATTACCACAAAAAAATCTTTCTTAGAATCACCACAAACTATTCAAGAGTATTATAATGCATTTCCAAGTTTTCTCACTTTATTTTTTTTGGGAATTATTCATAAACTGCGAGCAAAAAAAACAGAAATAAATAATCGTTAACAAAGAAAACGAAAAAAACAACTTCCAATTACAACTTATAAGCAAATAATTAAAGTTGTAACATTTATTACTTCAGTAGTAATGGGTTTAGCTTTTCCTTCTTTAAAGATTTGGCTTTCTCAAGTTTTAGCAAGTTTGAGCTGTAAGCCATGATTGTTAGGTTCACTTCACCAATTACTAACAATATGTCACGTAACTTTTCATACAGATCAGCATGAAAAGAAACTTGTTAAGGTCTGCATAGAAAAAGCTGATCCAACACAACGTCTAAATCAAGAAAAAAATATTTGGAATTTAGCAATTATAGACAATATTGATTTCAAGGAAAAGAGCTTTAAATTTGGTGATGTTACTCAAGGTAGTTCTCATGCAATACTAAGAATGGCCTTTCAAATGCAATTGTCAATAGATAGAATTAGACCTGAAGAAGTTGTTGAATTAACTGCAAATACATTATTGTTTGGCATAAATTCTAAAATAAACTAAATATTAATTATTTTTCAAGAAACATTAGAAGAGTTGTTGAATTTTAAAAATATTCATGGCGAATTGACTTATGAAAAAGATTTTGATGCTGAAAGTATTAAACGTATTATACTTACCAAATTAGATTATGGGTGCTTAGATTTGTCTCTTAATATCATTATTCTTAAGCTTGAAACTAATTCAAATTCTGATGATGAGATTTTACGTGCTACTAAATTGTATAAAGAAGACTTTGTTTAAAAGATTATGATTTTCTCAACATTGTGACTGATAAAGCAATATATCGTCAATTAATCAAAGGTAAAAAAAATTGACCAAATTTAAGAACTCATTTAGGTCAATGATACACCTCGAAAGACTTTTGCTCTTTAGTCTTATTTTCAAGTTATGGATTGTTAAGTTTGGCTTCACGCCTTGGCATATAATTTCTAGATAAATTTAAAGCTGCTGTTGATTATCATTCAACATCTAGAGTCCTGGATCTTCTGTAGGTTGCTATAGGCATAGTTATTAATATATATACTACTTCAAAAAAAATTCCCTTTTCTGAAATTATGGATGGTATTAATAATACTCACATTTGCCTCAAAGTTTTGTATCTTTACTATAGATAGGTAGGTATTTGGAAAGCTCATAGAATAGGAATGTGTATTAGAAATTTTGATATTCAAAAAAATTCTCTAGCTGCAGCTGTACCTCTTTTTGCTAGTGCTGCCAAGTCAAATTATACAACGGCAATAGCTCACTACCTTTTAACAATAGCTGCTTACTCACAATTGGAGGAAAAGTTAAATTATTTTAGTTCTTTTAAAATTTCGCGTGATGATGATAATTTTTATCATGTTTGTTTTAGCTTTGATGAAGCATTAGAGACCTTTAGCATTAGATATATTAAACAAAATATCACCAGAAATACAATTGATGAAAAGAGTCTTAGAGATCAAATCAAAGCATGTCAGGATGAAAAGGATAGGATAGATTTGTTTCTATATGAATATTTAGATAATAAGTCAGTATCAAAAACTGAATGTGCTAGTAAATCATGAAAGAAATCAATGTGGAATCTTGTAAATAATCTGGTTGATCTTTTTGAAAGGTTAGATTCTTTGTCTCATGATTTATTTCAAGAATACCTACCAACAGAGCTACATTATCAAGAAGTTGAACGTCTGATTGTGTGCTATCAGAAAGGATTAGAATGGATTAAAGCAGTTTATTGACAAGAAGTTTTGAAAATAGAATGTAGAAATATACAGGTAAAAGAGCAGTAGAAGTAGTTAAAACAAAATTCAAAGATTTTAGTAAACAAAAAAAAATAAGACGTAAAGCTAATAAAGCTAAATTACCTCAAACTCAACAGAATATTTCACAAGCAAGTGGATCTAATAACCAGGTGGATAATTTAGAATTAAATAATCAAGTGAGACAAAAACGAAGACAAACAACTCCCGAAAAAGAAAAAATACTTAAAGAGTTGTTAGTTTACAAAGAAGAACTGCCAGATACAGCTATTAATGAGGTTTCAGTAGGCTTAGTGAGCTTTCAAGCTATTGGACTAAAACTAAAATTAAAGCAACATAGAGATATCGTAAAACTAAAAGTTAGCATTATTGTTATGTAATAATAATATTAAAAAATAAAATACAATGTATAATATTTTTTTCAAATTCCTTTTTATAAAAATTTGACTTTTATTATTTAAATGAGCGCTATTTTACAAAATAAATAAAATAGGTATAATAAAACAAGATAAAAATTACGCATTATCTACAAAATTACTAATTTAATCGCCTTTTATTGAATAGGTTTTCTGATTGTACATTAAAAACTACGTACAATTGGTAATTCAAGATCATTCTTCGCTTTCAAATAAACTTGCATCTAGGGGTTAAGTTCGAAAAAATAGGAAAATTAGGTATTATATAAACTTTTGTAAAAAGTATTGTATTGCAAAAAAAACTATTGAAATATGTAGATTAAAACTCAAGAAACAAAAATTCATTAAGGTTCGGATGTTCGTTGCTTAAAAAAAATAATATTTCATTAATATCAAATTTCTCGTGATTTGACATTACACTAATTTTGTTATTAATGATCGACACCTCATGTGACATGACCGGTGATTGTTAAGTTTAGTTTTAGATTAATTGCTAAACAGGTATATTATAGTAAGTCTACAATTATTTATCAAGTTAAAAGATATCATCAAAATTGAAACTTAAATGTTATAAAAAGATTAGATCAACCTCATATAATAATTGTAAAATAAAATGATAATATTATAAAAATAGTAAAAAAAGAATATAATATAATAGTCATTTAAATACAAAAAAAAATTGAAGAAAAAATGTAAAGTTTAGTATAAAATAGTAAGGTAAAGTTTTCATAAATCTGAGAAAAATTTAGTAATAAAATTTCTAAATCTTTATTTCTAGAAGATTATTGTAAGAAAAGATTATAATAGGTAAAAAAACATAAGAATTTTGATTAAAATCAAATTATTTTTATAAATAAGAATATATTTCAATTATATATATCAAAAAAGGTTTAATAGAAAAACTTATGTTTAAAAATAATTTTCTATTTTTAGATTTAGTAAGTTATTTTACTTTTAGAAGAACCTTAATATTGAATTATATATATTATTTATAAGCATTCTCTTCTTATTTTCCCTTTAAACTTTTGGTAAAGGTAACATAAATTAGATCTTGCAAAAAGTATAATTCAAAGCATTAATTAAAAATCGCAAAATAATAATAGAAGGAAAAAATAACATTAAGGTACTTTCTTAGCTATTAATATTTTCAAATTAAAATTCTATAAAAATTAATATACAATTAATTAAAGAATTAAAAAAAGAACTTACAAAGAAATAGAATTATCTTTTATTTGTACTTGTTACAAATTTAAAAATTTATATAAATAACATATAATAATACTTATAGAATCAAATAATAATTATATAATATATTAAGTTTTATTAGTTAATTATATATTTAAATAAAAAAATTTTTTAAATTTACTTACCTGTAACCAGAGTTAGAATCTTTTAGATATTTATAATTACTACTGTACTTGAAAAATAATTTTTTTCTAAAATTATAAAATATATTAAATTAAGTATAATATAATTGCTTCTCTTTAAAATTGTAATTATTTCTTCTAATATACTTAAATTAACTAAATTTTTTATAAAAATCTATTTTTTATTAGATAGGTTAAATTTTTTAATCAACACTTATCTTTTTGATATTATTATTCTAATTATATAATATTTTTAAGCCAAGAATAAAAAATTTCATCTTATAAATACATCTTGAATTACTTTTACTTCATTTTTATATCTGATTTTTTATATTACTAATAAATACTTAAATATTTTATTATATAATAAAAATAATAGTTAGTTCCAATGTTTTACTAATTTCTAATTAAAAAAATATATGTTAAGTATAAAATTCTAATTAAGAAAAGGTCAGAAATAATGTCATTTAAAATTTCAAAAAATTTTACTATTTTCTTTAAGAAAATCATATTATCACATAATCACAATTATAAATTTTAATTTTATATTATTCTTTATTATATTTTACTATAATATTACTATATTATAGTGTTATAAAAATAATAAAAAAATTTAATAAAATAATTAAATTTATTAAATTTAAAATATTATATTTAAAATTAATTATAAAAATAATTAAAAAAGTTTAAATTTAAATATTATTATTGTATAAAATTAATTAAAGTTTTATATAAAAAAAAAATTTATTCAAAAAATTACATAACATTAAATTTTAAAAGTAAAATAATCCTATTACTATAGTTTTTTATTTGAATTCTACTATTATGACCTTCTTTCTTTCTCTTTATTCTTTTTTGCAACTTTTATGTTAGAAAAATTTATTATGAATTATTATTTATATGATTTGTATTTTCTATTATATAAATTCTTTTAGTATATTCTATACAAAATAAACCTTGTTGTAGTTCAAATTTTTTAATTCTCATATTTATTACTTTTGCTATTAAATAAAATGCTTTAATATGCTACTTTAAAATGTTTTTGAAAAAAAAATATTTATAGTATTTTTAGCATATAAAATTATTGTATAAATCTAAAGTAATTCTGGAATATTATTTATTATAGCTTAGTAACTTTTTATTGTAATATTCTAAAGTATAAACTAGACTTAAAAAATAACTGTTAAGTCTTTATATAAAAGGTAATAAAAAATTATTATTTGTAAATAAAAGGTCATAAATTGCAGATACATGTGATTATTTATAATAATTCTAATTTTTATACTTTTTTAAATTAAGAGAGAACTTGCAAATTTGACTATACTTATCAATCCAATTCTATAACTTTTTATTTATATCTATAAAATTTGAATGATTGTATTTCTTAATATATATAATATTAATTGAATAACTATTAATTTTATTACAGTCTTAAAATATATAAAGATGCTTATCTATATATTTAAAATTATGATATCTAATATTCTCATCTACTATAGTAACTTTTTCATTAATAATTCTAAAGTAGTTATTATATATAAATACATTTAACTCAATACTCACTAAAATTTCAAAAAGTAATGCTATACTCTGTTCAATTAAATTATATGTAGATTGCTTAAAGCATATGTTTAAATTATAAAATAATCCAAGTTGTGTTTTTTAAAAAGTAATAAGTACTTTAAAATGTTTATAATAAACTGAAAATTTTCATTTGATCTATCATCTATTAATAAATACTAAAATAGTTTACAGAGTTCTCATAATATGCAAATTATGAAAAGATTCTTTCTTTATAATTGACATAAAGTTTACTATGTATATTTTGTATGATATGCCTAAAAAATATTTTGGATGAATAAAGATTCTCATTTTATTAGAACATAATGAACTATTTATATTATAATCATTAAATAAATAAATGATATCAATTTATATTTCACAACCTTTTTAAAAAATTATAATTAGAAACTGATACTAATTTATTTATTATTTATATGATTTTAATTATTTTTTTTAATTACAATTATCTTAATAGGAACCTAAAAAATCTGAAAATTAAAAAATTGAAATCTTATATTGAAGAAAATATTATAAATATATATCTTAGTTTTATCATCTTGTGAAATTAATATTTCTTTAAAAAAAGCTGATGTAAATAATTTACAAGATTAAATAATAATATTTATCAATGTAATTGATTAACTCATTTTTTCTAATAAATGCTAAACTAATTTATAAGGAATAATAATATTATTATACCACTTATTTTTAGATATCTAGGTTGTATATAGTTTTGCAAAATAGACTTTATTATATAAATATTATATTTTCTTTTATTACTTTATAAAGATATTTGATAGTTCAAATCTTAATTATTTCTTTGTGTTTTTATAACTTGCAACTTTAAATTTGATATTATTATATATTTTATTTAAAAATTCAAGATTATTTATCAAAAATAATGGTCAATATGATATATCATATATTTGACAATATTTTTTTTTATCTAATTTCTTTCATTTTTTTGAGTTTATTATTAAATTTTTACATTAAATTTTAACATTTTAAACTTTTTTCTTTTAATATAACCATTTTTTCAAGCTTTTTAATTTTTAAACTGAATTATAAATGAAGTTTTGATAATATATTTACTCTTAATAGATTATTATATGGACTCTTTACAATAAAAAGGGAGAAAACTACCAAAAAAATTTTTTTTTTACTTGATAAGCTAAATATTATTTTTTTAATAAAATAAATTCAAATTTAATATTAATTCAAAAAAAATTTTTTTGGTAGCTTCCTCCCTTTCTATTGCAAAGAGCCCATATTTATACAAATTAACTTTATTCTTTTAAAGATTATTAATAATTGCTTTTGTACTATTGCATTTAATGAAGGAATATTAATGAGTATAAATTCTAAAAGTTTTATAGATTCGAAAAATTCTGAAAATTCTAAAGGTTCTAAAGATAACTTTAGAAAATTCTTTATAAAATAAATCAAATAAATCTATTTAAGTATTAGCTATTCTTTATAATTATATTACAAATCTATTTAAATTGACTAATAATTATTTTTTCTTTTAATAATCTTATTAAGTGTGTATTTAATAAAAATTGCTATCTATAAGAAAAAAAGAAAGAATTAGTATTTATCTAAAATTCTGAAAATATATAGCCAAATTTAATTGTCAAATATGTTTAAAATTCTTATCAATGAGATAAAACTGATATTTTTCATATACAGAGGACCCCTAAAAGTCTCTGAACACTATTTTTCAAATGAGATTTTATGCTATTAACATTATGTAACTTAATAATACTAAAATCATATGATATTTTAGACTTAGTTTACATGAATCAAACCTAATAAATGTATGTTTGGTTTGTTTATTTTGATTTTGAATCAAAATAAACTTTGATCCTAAAATACCTAAAAAAATGTCTAAAAAAGTAACTGCAGAACAATATAATACTATATTTTTTTACCGTCAATACAGTAATAGTTACTAAAATATTGCCATGATAGTTAGATATAATATGTTAATAGTATTTGACACTTTGAAAAGAATGGATAATACTGAAACAACTAATTTAAGGCTTCACTTCAATCAATCATCCCTTCTTGAACCTTTATAACAAAATCAGCTTAAGAATTTTGTAACTAATAATAATGAAAAAAACTATCACTTATATATTTCAGAAATTCAACAATTCTAAAATAAAAAGACTAGCCAAGATATTTTAACTCGTATTATTAGCTATATACTTTGTGCAGTTAGATTAAATAATTATATTACTTGATAAAAGCCTCTAATCTCATCAGCAAATATAAAGGTATATCTTACATAGTACTTAGAATATCAAAGCTAGACAAAGGACAATTGGTCAAAAGTTTTGTAGAGTAATGAGTCAACCTTTTCTCAATTTTAATAATCTCAGTGCAGTAGAGTTTAGCGAGAACTTAGCGAAGAAT